AGGGATTATATATCTATATTCCCTTATTCCACCTGTATGGGTTTTCCAAGTACTAGGCGTGCCGCTTGCGACGTGCTTATAAGTAAAACCCCTGTTCTTCGAAACTCTGGTATGTAAGCATTGCATGGGGGCTACCAGGTTCAGTGATTCAAAGCCCTAAACCCTAAACCCTAAATCCTCACCTCCATGCCTCTTGGCATCACGTCTCGCAACAAATGGGGGTTTCCCAAAATTAGGGGTACCTTTTTCGGGGGTCCCCATAACAAGGATTGTAATATATTGGGGTCTATATTGGGGTCCCCCTATTTTGGGAAACTACCAAATTTGTTTCGGTACAATGTAAGGGCACTGACCATGAAAGTTGAGGTTTCCCACACGGGGTGCAGGCAAATGCCATACAAGATTCCCATGTAGAACCCAACTAGGCGAAGGGGCATACACGACCCAAAGTCAGAAACCCTCGCCCTCTGCGTACCGGTGCTTTGCGCGGAGTGGGCGGATGAATATAGTTGCTATAGTCGGAGTATATACGAGCTATAGTCTAAACTCCTAGTATCCCCTTTAATACCCTATAAAACTCCGATATATAGCCCCGTTTAAGGAAGTTAGACTATAGCTCATATGGGCGTTAGGGATGCACTCCCATACCGCCCTTAAGCACCAGAAAGTCTTTGGCAGAAAGGGGCTCTTGGAAGACAACACAATAGCTAGGTAAACACCAGCCACACCAGTGGCTTTGCTTACACTTGCTGCTTGTCAGTAGGCAAAGAAGGCATGTCTAAGGTTGGAACTGTGGGCCCCTAGCACAGGCCCTGAATCCTGGGGTCCATTTAGAGAATGAAAAAGCAACTGGGCACGATTTAGGGATTTAGGGTTTAGAAGTGGAAAAGACACTGGAAAGTATTGTGTTGGATGTTGCATTCATCCATTCCCTACAACGACCAGAATTACAACTCAACTACCGTTGTAGTTAAACGAAATTGAGGTGGCTTACAATTGCTTTGTAAAATACAGTTCTGTGTGGGCTAGACTGCCCATGAACCTCCAAGTATAGTACCCAAGAATGGGAACTTCCAAACCAGAGAGCTTTCTGCATGGGGCTGCAGTATGAGAATGAGGCCTTAAGAAGGTCAGATAGACTGACAGTGAACCTCCGTCAAGTTCTAACTGAGAATCAGCAATCCCAACCCGCGTGTCATGGACAGCGATGCTTTTGGGCAACACCTTTTGAGCCCGACGTTTTGGGAAGCCACAATGTAGCCTGTCATTCCAGGCTACTTCATACAAGGTAACATTAATGTTCGCTTTCGATGTCTTGGCTGTGCTCGGATCCCCTATGCAGATTTCTTTTCCTGTTCCTTGTTGCCTGAATTCCAGGAGCCTCTTGTGCCCTCAAATAGGGGTATATGGTCCCCAATAGTGGGTATTCAGGGCATAGTCGAGGGTAGATGAAAGGTCCAGGTGCACAGATAGCAATATTTGCAGGAGACGAGTCCTGAATCCGAGGACAGATAAGAACGCCGTGCAAGCTTGGGTTGCTTCCCGACAAGAAACCCAAAAGCCTGAAACCCACACCCCAAACCCTACCTAGAGTAATCCTATACATTGAAAGTAGATACAGATGCCAAACATAAAGGTACAAAGCCCTTTTAAATAGGTACGCTGGTTACTCTAGGCACAGTCCAAACCCTAAACCCAAAGCCCTCAAGCCAAGCCCGACGAGCTGCAGTTCTTTCCATAGATACCTCAGTTGGTCAGACATAGCAATAGCAATAGTAAAGGAATAGCACTCATCATAATAGTAATAATGCTAATAAGTATAAATAAATACAATTACAACTGGAAGTTTTGAATGCTCGTTGTGAAGGTCTGGGTCTTCCTACTGTCTGTTCGGGGTTTAAACGGCTGCACGAAACAAACAACCAACCAACCAACCAACCAACCAACCAACCAAACAAACAAACAAACACCGAGTACAATTGACTCCAGACATTTCAAAGTTCTTGCGAAGTGAAGCCAAGCCAACCAAGAGTAGCGTAGCCTCAACCCACTACACGACCAATGCAAACGCTGGAAAAACATAATGAAACCCTTCAGAATCTGCTTCTGTCAGTACTCGTTGAAAGCGCCAGTGCATTGAATGCTTTAGATTATAAACCACGACGCAATCAACATTCTAAGCTGAAGCGCTTATTTACATCCAACCCGGACTTCTTTCGGGCACTGGCAAACACCAGATGGGCTGGGAATTGGCGAAATAATTCGGAGATATTCGTAAATGGTGGTTTCCCAAATGGGGGGACCCCAATATAGACCCCGATATATCCCTAGTATTGGGACCTTTCAAAGGGTACCCCTAATTTAGGGAAACCCCCAAATGAGGCTCTGCAGGGATGCCAACGAAAATGATCAAAATTCCCAGGCCATCGTAAAGGACAGGCCATGCCCCAAGGGTTCAGGTACATAAGGGTTAAGGTTTTAGGGTTGGTCAGGGTTTAGGGTTGATAATGGTTTGCAGAATTGTGGATCCTTTTTTTGTTTTTGGTTGGGGGGTGTGGTGGGGCTGGCCATAACAAGGATTACCGTACATCTGGGTCTACATTGGGAACCTCATTTTGGGAAACTATCCTTTACGTAGAAAGTAGTTACGCGCCAAAGCACCAAACCCAAAACCCTGCACCCTTAACCCTAGACCGGAAACCCCCGTAGGCCCGAGTCTATCCTATCTGGCCATTCTGGCCCGTCTGCGCGTATTTCCTATATCGCACGCCTGAGGGTCCAAGGGCCGGATATTCGGGCTTTAGGTCCCAAATACCATTCAGATTGTAGTATTTGGGCCCCAAGATTTGTGTCCTTGGACGATTAGGGCACCACTGAATGTGGTCGTAGAGCCTGCCTAATATTACATGACCCCTGGACTAAAGTTCTAGTCTTTTTCCTTCTTTATCCGCAGTAGGCCCCTCCCAACCTAATTATGTGCGGATCTTACTATGGCTTTGGGCAACGCCCTATCTACTTAAGGGGGCTATGTGGTAGTTTCCCAAAATAGGGGAACCCCAATATAGAACCCCCAAAATCCTACAGTCCTTATTATGGGGACCCCTAAAAAGGTACCCCTAATTTTGGGAAACCCCCATGTAGGTAGGTATTTGGGACACTTTGGGATCAGCCCCGAGGTGCAGCCCTTGGCGGTCTTGGTGACGGGGTCCCAGAACACGCAGAGCCTGGTTTTCACCTTCCCACCTTAGTGGTTTGGGGGGGGTAATATTAGGAGTATTTTGGTGTTATATTAGGATTATATTGGGGTTATATGAGGATTATATTGGTGTTATATTAGGGTTATATTGGGGTTATATTGGGGTTTGGGGGCTTGAGGTTAGGTTGGGAGTCAATGTTAAGTGAAACTTCACTTTGAGCTACCAAAACTATGCAACCTGCTTACTTACTAAGTGTCCATATTCTGGTATCAGGCTTGCTGTTAAGGAACTTCTGTGAGATGAATCGCATACCGTCGGATACCGTCGGATACCGTTTTAAGGAGGCCTACGATCTGCGACGTATCCATATCAAGGTAGCTTAGCTTAAGCTCCTGAACCGCAGCCCATCAGTTGTGGCGTGACTTTTCTCCGATTACACTTACCTGGGATGAGTATGGAATAGGAGAATATAGCTTGTTGGGCTTTTTGTAGGGATTATATTCTCTAATTCCCTAAAAAAACCTGAACCCTAAGCCCTAGAAACTGATATAAGTTGGAAGTTCGAATGCTATATATTGTAGTATTGACCCTCAGGAATTAGGCTTGGGGCTTGGGCTCTTGCACGCAAACTTCAGGGCAGCTCACTAGTAATAGTAGTGAAAATATTGATCAGAACTGCAGTTATACTAGCAGGAATAATTTCTCTATTATTATAGTGACATTAGTTACTACATACAAATACAGCTTGACACTGAAATTTATGAGTATTTATCAGATACTGACTGTAGAATGAGAGGTAATTTTGAGTAGCGAAAAACGGTCAAAGTTACCGAATGGGCCCCCCAACCACTGACTGACAAGCAATGATGAGCAATTAACAGGAAATGGTCAAAGCTACCTAAACCCTAAATCCCTAAACCCAAACCCTAAACCTTAAAACCCCCAACCCCAAAAACCTAAACCCTGTACTCTAAACCGCCCAAGCCACAGACTGACAGGCCAATAGTGCCCAGCTCACTCTCCGTGTGGGCAAAGGGGCCTCAGCTCAGAAGTAAATAAGGGAATATACTCCCTGTAGAATTTCTACATAATCCCCCTATTCCCTATTAAGAAGCAGTAAAATTAGCGCCACTCCCTGAACATCAGCACGGCCAAATCTTACCCTGGTGCTTGCTGATTGTTTGTATGGCCTGGACAAAAAATGAGGACTACTATCCCATAGAAAATCACCTAGTAATTAGGATTATCGAGGGATGTGTAAGGGTTATATAGAGATTAAAGCTGCTAGTACGGAACGGATTACATGACTACACTTCAGATATTGGGGCTTAGGGTGCTGGATATAGTAAACGGAGGACTGGATCCCTATACTTGCGCCTATATAATAGGCCGCGATGCTGTGGTAGTTTCCCATGCTTTCTTCCATTCCCTATCGACAGACAGCAAGGGACCCCTATGCAAGGATGGCATAGCCTCTGTTAGGATTCAAGGTCTAGGGTTGTATCAACCTAGGCCTCCGAAAAACTCTTTGTCCATCAATTGCCTTCATCCCTGTTATCTTGGGGTTATGGTAGGTCATTGCTATGGGTGTTTGAGAGGTCTTGGAAGAAGCGACTCAGGATCACTGTGATTCTTCTATTGCTTCTCATGCAATGGTATTTTCATTGCGCTGCAGATAGCTGGGAAAGAGCCAGCACGCATTATCGTGATGCGCTACATCACTGGTTTTTGAACGTTCTTCTAAAAGCCTGCTTTCCCGGTAAAGGCCTGCGACGCAAGCAAGAACTGCTGCAACCTGGGGGCAAATCTTGCCCAGTGAGCACTCTCCTCGGGAAAAGCGCCCGCACATCTCTTTCCTGGGACGCTGACAAAGCGGAATTGAAGCATCTCTACCCTATCCACCCCATCCTACCAAAGCATGACAAAACATATTTTTCACCAGCGCGGGAAGATTTGCGTTCCCGTGACCTCCATAAACCTAAAACTGATAACAAATCAGCCCAGCTTCTTCTTTTTCAGTCTCATGTCAGGGACCTGGCTCTCTGGGATGTCGCCCTGTTCAGCCATGGCACCTGTTTCTTCATTAGCCATGTTGTCCGGGACATCTGGTGAGGCTGGATGCAGTTCCTCATATGTATGCGCAAAGGTGCAGTCCTGACCTTGCCGGCAGAAACCGACTGTCATCAAAGGCTTGCACAATCGCATCGGCCGAAAACCCTCTTTGAAACGCAAGGGTTGCGCCGCTTGGGTTTTGGCCCGCTTTTCCTGCTCCTGCTTCTGCAGCTGCTGATAGAACTGGTACTGCTGCATATACTGCATGTCTTGCGCTGACTGCGCTGCTGCTGCAACAGCTGCAGCGCCCTCGGCCTCGTTGTGACTCTCACCTGCTGGCTGGGTGCTTCCACCTTGGGCCCCTGCTCCCCCTCCTGTCGCAGCCCCTAAGGCTTGCACCACGGCATTCAACACCGATGGTTCCAAGCCTAAAGCCACAGCAACTGCTGCAACTGTTGGGTCGGTGCCTGCTGCAGCAGGGGCAGGTGGTGCTGTTGGGGCTGGTGGGGGTGCTGTCGGGGCTGCAGGGGCTGGCAGGGGTGCAGCTGGTGGTGCTGCTGGCACAAAGGCAGTCGTGACTGCTGGCGCTGTTGCGGGCGGCGCCGTTGCTGGTGCTACTGTTGACATGCTTGCAGCAGCGGTGGCCATCTGTCCAGCTGCAGCCATTAAAGCCGCTGGAATGGCTACTTGCTGCATTGGCACGGCGGTTGGAGCACCGGGTGGACCTGGTGGCGGAGGTACGCCTGGAACCGCAGCACCTGCTGGAAGCGTTTCACCTGCTGGAGCTGGAGCTGTCTGCATAGGGAAGCCAACTGGGAGTGTCAACGTACCTGGTGCTGGAGGAGGAGCAAACACCATGTTAGGCGGAAGTCCAGGAATGGGCACTCCCATGTTGGGCAACTGGCCTAGCAGTTGCAACTGGCCCAATCCAGGCACTGCACCCGGTGGCAGCATCTGCCCTGGAATGCCTGCTATCTGCGGTATCTGTCCTGGTATCTGCCCAGGCAGCTGTCCTAGGTCAAGCTTAGAGTCTGCTTGCAAGGTTGAATCGAAAGTACAAATTCATCTTGAAATCAACTTCAAACCTAGACTCGGGCTTGAGCGGCAAGAGCAACAAAGTGCATGAGATTATGAATTTCAAGAATAAAAACTGTCCAAGGCTGACCCAAGTGTCCCGGTATCTGGCCAGGAAATTGCTGCAGAACCGGCCCTGGCGGTCCCGGTGGCCCCGGTGGCCCTGGTGGCCCTGGCGGCCCTGGCAGCCCTGGGGGCGCCGGGACCCCGGGTGGGCCGGGCGGCAACATGGCCCCGTGCCAACGCTGCGCGCAAATATATGCATCTGATCCCAGCTGCGGATGGGCATTACCACAATTATGAGTAGGACTGCTATCCCTTCCCCCTCATAGAAAACCCTTGAATCCTGGAGGACTGCTTTGACAAGTTGACAAGGGCAAGATTACTTGTCGAAAGGGGCCATTTAGGGAAAATGAACGGCGCGTTCTGGGGGACAAGATCCAGACAAATCAGTCAGTTCATGTAAGTTCTACTTGATGTTAAACAGGAATGATTTGAGTTGATTTGGTTCTGAGGCCACCGTGGGTTCACGGAGGAAAACCAAATAACAAATGCTGCAGGCTGACTTTTCATTGGAGGGGACGTCGCTCATAACAGTAACGGCTCTTATGTCAAGCAGTCCTAGGTATCTATCACTCCCGCTGATGTGGTAGCTTCTTTGTCTGCGATACATGAAGCAAGTATGACTCTCATGCATCACGAGCGGCAGAACTGATCTCGAATTTTGCACTCCAAATCCCACCTAGCTAGCCTACAGCTTATGTTCCAACCAAGCCTTCAGATAGAATCGGCATAGGTGCTTTCTTCCTAAGCTGTAGCCGGACAGCTAGCCTGCGACTTGTACTTGTGGTTACTCTACTTGCAGTTGCTGCTATTGTTTCTAGTCTCAGTTCTCCTATGTGACAGGCAATAAGCACTGATGTTAATTCCCGCAGTGGCTAATACCCTCAACCCACAACTCACCAGTGGCGCAGCAGACCTTACGTCTTTTCCGCCGGCAGTTGAGCGCCTGACGGCTTGTCTAGAAGGTACAGAGGGTGTTACCTGCTCTTTTTCGCCGGCAGCACCTTGGCTGGCTGTCAAAGCACATGGAAGCCCAACACCCAAACGCCTGGGAGGGTCCAGAAAGTAGAGGCACGAATATGGATACTAGTGTTGGGTGTTGTCTAGAAACTCATGATGGGGATGTACTTTCTAGATCCTCACCTTTAACATGCTAGGACTCTAGTCTAGAGACCAGTAGTGGATTGAAGATCGAATTTGCGCAACAAAATCACTTAGATCTCAGTTGCCATGCCATGCCGTTTATGTTTAAGTTTAGGGTGTACGGGTGACATAGGGCACCTACATTACCTTTTTTGACAGGGCCTAAACCCTAAAGCTTATAACCCGGGGGCTTGAGTGTTGAGTCTTCGGTGCTTCATGTCTCCCTGCACAGGACCCCAAACCGCAAGGCCGCCAACGAAGTGCCCAACCCCCAAACCCAAGCCCGAACACAAAAAAACGGAAGCACCCCGCAATCCCCGCAACACATGCAGAAAACTGAAGAATTCGCAACGGCATTCCCTCATGATCCGCATACAACTATAAAAGAAATCTACCCCAACCCCACTTGCAGTAATTAAACCCTGAACTCAAATCCCCAAGGCACCCGCAAGGTTCGAACAAAAGCCGAAGTATGAATTATCCGCGGAGGCCACACTCCTCAGCTCCCCAGAAAACCCCGGGAAAGATCTAGAAAGTAGGCTCCCCCCAATCTGGTACCATATAGTGCTATTGGGAAATTTCTAGCACCTTCTATACAAGGGGATATACTTTGTAGATCCTCCCAGGGATCTGGGTCGTAGGGTTAGGGCTTAGGGTGTAGGATCGGGGTTTAGGGTTAAGAGGTATTGGTTGGGTTGAGGTTTTTGGGTTGCAGGTTTAGGGGTTGGGCTAAGTTGCGAAACCTAAGTAATAAGGGTCATATTGGGGTCAGCGTTCCTTGGGTCATAGGGTCTAAATACAATCCCTGCTGAAGCAGCCCTTCAGGGTCTAGGGCTTGTAGGATTTTAGCGTCGGGTCTAGGAATTGGGTTTAGGCTTTGCTTTTACAGGTCTTTGGGGTTAGCCTACGTTGTGGGACTTTGCTGGGGTAATGCAGGGCGTGCAGCGGCGGTCTCAAGGCGAGCAGACATGGTACAGGAACCCCTGCTATGATTTAGGATACTCCCATTCCTTAATTCAGGGGTCTTGAGCGTGAGATCTCTGGGTAATCTAGATGAGCCATAGTCTCAGCTCCTAGTATCCCCCTTAATTACCCCTACAATAGTCCCCTACATAGTCCTTATATAGCCGCCTTTACGGAATTTCGACTATAGCTCAGATTAAGTCAGTAGCTGGGATGGCTCATGGGTCCATAAACCCGTAGCCCTAAACTGTAAGCTCTAAACCTGAACCCTACAGGGTTTAGGGTTTAGGGGCCCGCTATTCGGGATGTTTGCCGGCTTGAAAACACATCTGGTTCGGGGAAAGTGTGGCGATTCCTCTAATCATCTCCACCTGAAAACCAAGGCATTCAGAGAACATTCTAAACCAGGACCCTCCCTGTACGATTAAATAGGGGTATATGGTCCCTGACAGTGAGTTTTTAAGGTATAACGAAAGGTAGATGGAAGGTCTAGGAATAGAGTACCAGTATACGGAGGATTGTCCAAAACTTTTGTTTCTTCATTGGATACGCTACGCATTCTAGTGCTGCAATGACAGCAACCCCAAACGGCACCCTAATTTCTGACAAGCTCCTAAACCCTAAACCCTAAACCCTAAACTATATAGATTGGATAACTTGCCTTATTCGGGGACTGGGGCGATGGAAGAATTTGGGCGAAGGGGATCAGGGGGTCTAGCGTGCTCTCCGGAGCCAGGCTTTCAGGTGCTTGCGGCTTCGAGGTATAATAGTACCGTATAGGTTTAGGGTTTAGGGTTTAGGGTTTTTTACGATCCAGAAATAAAACGTTCTGCTTGCAGTTGACCTAGCCTCTCCGAGTTCGAGGTACTACGCGCCTGCTTGGTCGCACTTCGTGCGTGACTCTCGTCTAACATTCCCATGAACTCGTCAAAGTCCACGACGCCGTCTCCAGAAGTGTCGTAGCTGTCAAGGAAGGCTTCCTGGGGTTTAGAGTTTAGGATTTAGGGTTTAGGGTGCCACCTAAGCCCTAACATCCCCTTTAGAGTTCAGGGTTAGGTTTAGGGTTTGGGTGTAGTACCACGGTCTGGAGTAGTGAGGACGAAGGAAGGCTTTGGGCTTGCGGATGCCTGAACAATTCGGATAGAGTTCCGAAGCAGCAAACTTACGGGGGGATAGTAGGGAATAGGGGAATATGATCCCTACATAATCCCTATATAGTATATTCCAGTATTCCCTGCTAAGCCCCGGTAGGTAAACCTTCACCGAGAATGACCGTCTCTACACGAATCTATGTCAGGTATCCGTGCTCCGATTCGAGTCGTGCATGCTGCAACAAACGCCACTGCGGGCTTCAGTTATACCAAATTCCCTAAGGGTCCAAGGACCCAAATAATAGGATTTTAGGGCCCAAATACCATTAATATTATAGTATTTGGGCCCTGAAACCCTATTATTTGGGTCCTTGGACCCTTGGGGATTAGGCTAAGGGCCGCGGAAGACTTATCAAAGGTGCCGTATTCCGCCACAGTGCACGATACCCCAAGGATGCCAAGCAGTTTCGAAAAAAAGGTCCATATGTGTCCTTGTCTAGAAGCCTGCTCACGAAGGAATCACGTGCCCTTGAACCTGGGCCTCTAACCCTAAGGGTCCATGTACCCAATATTTAGGTACTTGGGTTTTGGGTAATAGTAATTATAGTACAGGTTTTGGGTAAGTATATGATTATGAGGTACTTGGACCCTTAGGGTAACCTACATCTCCATATGCGCGACCCAGTGCAGGAACGTTCTGTACCTTCTACAGGATGGGGCGTCTTGCAATTCAGAATGTAAAGCACAAGTTGGTGTACAGGGTACGCGCACAACAATCGAAACAAGCACTGTCCAATGTACAGCCTATACGCGCTTGGCACACATCTGAAATCATCTGAACTTCCTTGTCCAAGGGATGCCCCCCCCAAACCCCCCTAATATTAAATACTCCAAATGTACTAGACTGTACCACAATGGGGAGTATTCAGTATCAGGGGGAGTGGGGGGGTTAATTTCCGGGGGAAGGAATCAATCCAAATTCCTACCCTCGACCTGAATCTCTAAAACCAAATGTCCAACCTCGAGCCTGGCCTCCAGATCCAAAAGCCTTTGCCTGGACCCCCAAAGTATGTAGAATAATTGCCTTTCGGGCTATATTTAGGGGGTTTGGGCCATTATTTTACCTACTTTGGGGGTTTAGGTAAACTTTAAACCATGACAATACTCTCTGCAGCGTCAAGCCCAAACCCTCACACCAATGTCCCGATCCACCGCCACTCAACGCGATCAGGAGGGTAGTCAGGACAACGAGACCAGCTCATGGATAAAAGTCATCTTTTGGTACATGCACAGATATACACACGCGAACATCCATGCCCGCATACATGGTAGAACGATCCTTCCGGGCTTTGGGGACCCCCAGATTTTCAGAAACCCGAAGCCCTAAGATGTCCCAGTATCCCCACCTCACCCAACCCCTTAAGAGGCTCTGAGTGTTGGCGAGCATCGATTGCCTTGGACTCTTTCTCCTGCTTGCTCTTGTCGCTGTTGCGACCGGAGGTAAGCAGTTTGCACAGCTCCGCTTTCCTGGGATCCGTTTATAGGGTTTCTGGTTTATGGTTTGTAGAGATTAGGTGGCGAACGACTTTGGGTAGATATGACCCATCAAACTGTAGCTAACGGGGACCAAAGGGTTTTTGTAGGCCTATATAGGGATTTACAGGGTTTAGGGTCGTAAAGTTTATTTGGGCCCTAAGGGAGCCTAGAGATATATAGAGCCGGGAGTAAACGGATTGTCGGGGTCTCTACTGGAGATTATGCAGGGATTAATCCTGTACCCATAACATTAAAAACCCCCACCCCCCTGATCTGATATTAAATACTCTCCATTGTGGTATATCATAGTTTGTTGGGAGTATTTAATGTTGGGGGGGGGGGTGGGGGGTTTGATTTTAGGGGGAGAGGATTATTTTGATACACAGCGCCTTGCAGAATAGCAGCCGGTCACCCTTGCCCGTTTTGCACGTTGCGGACCGAAAAGAATCTGCAAAACTGCGGCTTCTACAAAGAACCCCACGCACCAGACCCAACACCCTAAACCCTATATAACTTAGGTGGACCCCCACTCAGTAACAGTCTATATTAGGGGTCCTATTAAGGGCTATATATAACCACATTATAACTATTATCCAACTGCTACTGAGGGGGGGCAGTACCCAATATATAACCCCCTTTTAGGAGTGCTTAGACTGTAGTTCACATTTGGGTTTGAGAATCTACTAGCCCTAGACCCTAAACCCTAAAACGTCCAGGTTCGTGACTGTGCCGCTCCCATCAGCATCGAATATCTTGAACGCCTCCCACACCACGTCTTCCTTCAACACTTTCCTGGCTGGGCGTTCAGGCTTTACCCTGGGCATCTAGGTCCATAAAAAGCTGCTACTTTGGGGCCTAAACCCTAAACCCTAAAAACCCTAAACCCTAAAAACCCTAAACCCTAGAGTTTATGAATCGTACCTGCTTTGGGCTAGTTGGATACTTAGGGTTGCTTGTAGACAGGGGCCCTGATGGTCAAAAGAGGCAAGAGCTGAGATGCCCGAATATCCCAATGTCCAACAGGCACAGGGTTTAGGGTTTAGGGTTTAGAGTTTAGGGTTTAGGGTGTTCAACCCATCGAAGCCTTTTTGCTTCCTTCCTAAACCCTAAACCCCTAACCCTAGGCTCTAAACCCTACACAGCCTGAGACATAGCGTGCATGCGGAAAAACCCGGGCATGAATTCTTATGTTGGGCTCCGTGTGGTCTTTGACGTTGGGGGGAGTCATGGCTACTGTAGGGGCCTAGATAACGACTCGATCATGTTGAGGTCTATGTACGCCCTATACCATGATTATACAAGGAATCAGGGAACCGTAGGTAAGGATCTACGGTTTAGGGAGGCCCCTACATTACATAATCCCCATACACTCCCTGTAAATAACCAGCTTCCATTGAGCTTCCCATTTTCTTTTCCATGCGACTTTTCCACTAATGCGACTGTGTAGGCCCAAAAGCCATAAACCCTTCATCCCAAGATTCTTCTTGTCCAGTGCCGCGGCCAAGAACTCCGTGTATTCTATGGTGTCGTTGCCTTAGCTGGTTTAGGTTTTTTTGCTGCTTGAACTACGTAAGTTTAATGTACTCTTCTTGGAAAGATGTATGCCTAACAAGGAGCACAGCCTTACTCGATGTAGTGCTACCGAAGTGAGGGGGTTCAATCTCAAACTCAAGTGTTGCTTTGGGTCGTGTGATGGGGATTCAAATTAAGCTGGGAGCATAAAACGGAGCATACGGGCTTCTCACAAATTGTAAAGATAGGGTTGCCCGAGAGATGCATGGAGAAGAAAAGGATGTCATGGGGTGTCAATCTTGTAAGGCTATGATTTTTTGGAGAATGACCCGAAACCTTCAGCACTACTGGACTGCAGGCAGGCTTCCGCAACTGACTACCCCTGTCTGTCGGGACAGGCAGGTAGAAAGCCTAAACCCTTTTGCTGCAGGCTTGCTGACCCTAAACCCTAGACCCTACCCTAAATCCTAAACCCTACATCAAAGCTCCCAAACATGAAGAGGCCTGATGGGCATTCTTGTCTATCTCTCCCGACTTTTTCTAACGTGTTTTGAGCTGGGCTAGGCAGGTATACTGCGAAACACAACAGGTTCTCTGGTAGACGGTTCAGAGCTGCCGGCCTGGGTGGGCATACTATGCCACACTGACCTACATGTTTCATATCAGTATCTTTTTAACTATTACTCTAAGACTAGGGGGACCCCAATATAGACCTCAAAATACTGTAATCCTTATTAGAGGGACCCGCCGCAAAGGCTGGGAAATCTCCATGTCATACCTGGTGAATGCCTGGTTTTCCATACCTAGAAGCTGGGGAATTGCGATTGGGTATGGTAGACGCTACATACGCGATGTTTGCTGCAAACGTGGGTCCATTGTGTATATCCAAAGTATTTCAGTCCTTGTGATGGACCCAAAAATTGGGACCCCTGATTTTTTCAACGCCCCAGGCCTACATCTTTAACTCTGAAACTCTAAGTCCTAAGCCCTGAACCTTATCATTCTTGAGTTGCTGTTAAGGGAATTAGATTGAGATACTTTTTGTGAGGAACTACAATTATCTAGTATATACCCATGTTGTGGTTAGTTTTCTTAGCAGCAATCCAGTTTTCCAACAAGCCGCCGTCAGTTCCAACTCCACACAAGCTCAGTCCGCCGGGTAAGGTCACGCCGACCTGTGACACCAGGCGGGTGTCCCAAAACAAGAAATTCAGGGTTTAGGGGGTAACTCTGAGGGCTTCTATAGGGATATAGGTGGCGGGCTAGTTCTAGATTGGCCCCCTTGTAGGGGCTATACACTGTTTTGCGAGACTTTGTAGAAACGAGCTACTAAGCTTCGAGAACACTCTCACAACACATTTGACCACAAGTAACAGCAACCTTGTTGTTTTGGAAGCTTTTCAAAACATAGCCAGCTTTATGGGTTCTCCCAACCCCACTCCAGTTCCCCGTTAGTTAACCTTAATCAGCCCGATTATCTGTATAAACTTCTAGTCTTGATTAAGGGTAACCTTTGGGGGGTAGCATGGATGGGGAAGCAGGGGAATCCATCACAGTTTTATTCCGTCGCTCAATCCTCGACTTCAAGCCCATGTCCATGAGCAAAATCGGGCTCAAGACTTACCAGCCTCCGCAAATGCACCACGCAGCTCTCCCATGGTCATGTGCCCATTTCCTTGGCTGATCTGGAAAAACTGCAAAGTGAGATTTCACAGACTTATACATGGGCAATGTTGTAATAGCTCTCTGAGCAGGGGCACTAATTCGCAGTCTACCTGACGAATCAAAGATCGAATTGGGATGGTCCCCTCATTAGAGTTGAGGTGATGTCGGGTGCTACAGCCCTGAAATTCTCTGCACAAAGCCGCCGATCTTGGTTTCCTCTCTCTCTCTCTCTGTCTCTTTCTCTCCTCTCTTTCTCTGTCTGGGTATTTGCCGAATTTGGGAAAAGATTCCCAGCCTCATTCTAACGACACTGGGTTTCTTGGCTGCACATAAGTCCCGATCCCTGGATAGCCCAACTGTTTTCAGCAGACAGCTATTAATTCCATGCACGGGGGCCGTCTTTGTCCAAACTTTCAAAGACCTGCCTCAAGTGCTGCGTGTCCTGGGGGTTGAGTTGAGGGTCTTAAATTCCCAACCGGTAGCCCTTGAAGGTTTTTTCTTGACCCCGGTGACTTCTTGAAGGTTTAAGGGTTTAGGGAACATTATATGGGTGGTTGTCAAAA